GGTGGGGACGTGTAGTAGACATAACAGATGTGGTCACTACCGTTAACAGGAGGTAGAGTGAGAATACCGTCTCTCTCTCTCTCTCTCTCTCTCTCTCTCTCTCTCTCAATTCTGCCTCTCTGTATACCCTCCTGTGTCCCTGTCTATGCCTCTGGATGCCTTTGTATGCCTCTGTCTATCTGTATGTTCCCTAGTTATGGCTATGTATACATCTTTCGGTCTCCCAGTATATGCCTCTATGCCTCCCTCTCTGTCTGAATGCCTCTGGATGCCTTTCTATGCCTCCCTATATGTATCTGAATGCATGCTCTAGTCATGCCTCCCATTCTGACTGCCCTACATACGTCTTTCGGTTTCTCTATGCCTCTGGATGCACCCTATCTATCTATGCCTCCGTACGACTTCCGACCCGAACTAAAGATCCACAATACCTTCAACTACCTGTACAGCGTCCATCCCTTGAAACAGATAGACGGTGTAATTATCTATTTCCAGGTGTAATTACGTCATAACAACAGTAACACCACGACAGAGAAGAGGCGTGTTACCCTCCCTCCCTCCTCTCACCCCTCCCCTCCCTCCCTCTCTCCTCCTCCCCCCCCCAGGCCACAGTACACCCCTCAGTCCTCTGCACCAGTCACAACATCACCAGGAAGTCACCAAACCAAAGGAACAAACACCAACCGCATCACCATACAGGAAGACAAACACACACACACACACACACACACACACACACACACACACACACACACACACACACACACACACACACAATAAAACATTAAAAACACGAATAAGGTAAAATTACTTAAACAAACACACCATTAAACTCAACCACGACAAACACAAACACCTTAAACAACACAACAAACACCTAACAAAACACACAACAGGTATAATAATTGATCAAGGCTTCACACACAGGTATGTCTAGGGTATCATTAACTCACAATGACACCTGACTACTCTCCCAACACCTGGACAATCTGAAAACACGATATGACCCTCCACACAAGGGCTCCCCACCGCCAATCACCATAGTTATCTAAGAGTTGTTAATGTAGTTAGTGAGTTGGTGAAAGATTTAATTATATATCGAGGTAGTTGTTGTACTGATTCTTTTAGATGATAAGCGGTAGCTAGTGTCCTTAAAGGGTTAAATCAGTCTTCAAAGGGTTAAACCGGTCTTCAAAGGGGGTAAATGATCGTCTTCAAAGGGTTAAACCAGTGTCCTCAGAGGGTTAAGTGATCGTCTTCAAAGTTAAATCGTGTCCTCAAAGGGTTAAACCATCGTCCTCAAAGGGTTAAACCATCGTCCTCAAACGGTTAAACCATCGTCCTCAAAGGTTAAATCATCGTCCTCAAAAGGTTCAAACCCACCCTCTCTCAAAGGGTTAAACCATCGTCCTCAAAGGGTTAAACCACCCTCCTCAAAGGGCTAAATCATCGTCCTCAAGGGTTAAACCATCGTCCTCAAAGAGTCAAACCACCCTCCTCAAAGGGTTAAACCATCGTCCTCAAAGGGTTAAACCACCCTCCTCAAAGGGTTAAACCACCCTCCTCAAAGGGTTAAACCATCGTCCCTTCAATACACCATCAACCTCGTGTCGTCAGCTCTCACAACTCCAACACCATTACGAACCAAAACAGCGAGGCAGTGAAACGTGATATTGAAGGAGGTCAGACGAAAACCACTGACAGGCCGCCCACCATAACTCGATACCTATCCCCTCTCTCTCTATCCTCCTCTATCCTCCCCTCTCGTTCTATTTCTGTCTCTCATCCCTCTATCCTCCCCTCCTCCCTATCCATCTATCCATCGTCAGGTTAATTATCATCTTCACTACGGGAGAAAAAACTCACTCTACACGTCACCTCCCTCCCAACACTACCTGGTATATTAGAATACCTGAGTTTGATAAGACCTTGTGGCCTAATATGGCGACAGGTAAGAGAAAATTATTGAACACACACACACACACACACACACACACACACACACACACAGAATATCAGATACAAGTTTTGTGTGTGTGTGTGTGTGTCAGCATATAGTCACTAACTGCCTTTACTACTTGACCTTTGTACACCAATTTCACTTTCTAGTTCACCTCAGAGGATAGTGATGATGATGGTGATAGTGATGGTAGTTGTGGTGAGTGCCCAAGCCGCTGTTACTGGGCACTGCCGCGTCACTCACCACTATGGCAAACGAGTTGTATGTACCCAGTATCAAGGAATAATCCGAGATGACCGGACATCTCGTCAACTGCACTGGCTAACCATTACCCCGGAATACGATCCAGGTCCTCAATTACTGCTGGGTAGACAAAGAGGCAAATGGTCCAGGTATCGAACCCGGGTCCACTGGCTTGCGAGACGAACACACCAACCATTACACCACAGGTCGCCCCCCACACACACCTACACACCCACACCTGAGAACCTCAATCAGAAGCGACATTAAACCAAAAGGTCATTCAATTCTTCCTTATTTTTTTTTGCTGGACAGACAGAGAGAGACACAGACAGAAGAGACACAGACAGAGAGAGACACAGACAGACACAGACAGGCACAGACACAGACAGTCGAACAATACCATCCGTTGTTATACCTAATAGTGTCATTGCCACACGTAATTACAGGGTAGTAACTGCATCTAAGGACATTACTGCCTCGTGTCCTTTTCTTGACCATGAGGTGAAAATAATGTACATGGGGTGAAAATAATGTACATGGGGTGAAAATAATGTACATGGGGTGAAAATAATGTACGTGAATTGAAAATAATGTACGTGGAAAAATAATGTGTGGGGTGAAAATAATGTACGTGGGTGAAAATAATGTACGTGGGGTGAAAATAATGTACATGGGGTGAAAATAATGTAAATGGGTGAAAATGTACATGGGGTGAAAATAATGTACGTGGGGTGAAAATAATGTACGTGGGGTGAAAATAATGTACGTAAAGTGAAAATAATGTACGTGGGGTGAAAATAATGTACATGGGGTGAAAATAATGTAAGTGGGGTGAAAATAATGTACATGGGGTGAAAATAATGTACATGGGGGTGAAAAATAATGTACGTGGGGTGAAAATATGTACGTGGGGTGAAAATAATGTACGTGGTGAAAATAATGTACATGGGGGTGAAAATAATGTACATAATGAAAATAATGTACGTAATTGAAAATAATGTACGTGGGGTGAAAATAATGTACATAGGGGTGAAAATAATGTACATGGGGTGAAAATAATGTGCTTAAGTGTTTCTATTTCACAACTTATAAGACTCATTGGTTTATCCCACCTTAAAACTAATTAGCATGTGTGTACTATAAGGCCTAATGATACCTGGAATAATAACAAACATAAATGATGATGATAGTGAGGAGAGAGAGCGCAACGACCACAAAAGCTCAGAAAAAATACCCCCAAAAACCTATAGTCGTCCAAAAGTCAGTGTTAAAGCTTTTCAATAGACAACAACCTATATATAGTAGTACAAAGTCATCAGCTAGGTAAACATTTAGAAACCATATAATCCTCCTTACTGTCCCCTCCCCCCAGAACCCTTACTAAAGATGTAAGATTTCTTTCTAAGGGTCAACACACACACACACACACACACACACACACACAGGATCATTGGTAAGGAGGCGTCTTATTGTACTCGTAAAGTGGCCTGAGAGTCGTCGGCAGAGTAATGATGGGAAGATCAGGTAAACCTTTCAACCCCACACCACCCCACACCCACCCACACCCACCCACGCCCCTCCTGCACAAGACCTGACACCTCTCACAGTTGACAAAGAACATTAATAATACAAACAGGATACAGCCGATAACAAGGTCATGACCACTAAACATTAGGGTCAACCACTCAACTACTGGGTCACCTGGGGTTGGTGTTTACACATAGCCAAGCCTCTCGTTGTACTGTATGTTGAGGTCAAGGGTCAAACAAGGTCATTAAACAAGATTCTCATCAACTAGAAGTGGTCAGATGCATTAAACTTCCATTTAATTAATTTTTTTAAAGATATATTCAGTATTAAATTCATGAAAAACAATACCCAAGATCTATTGTTAAGCACAGGTATTTTAATGAGACAGGTTAAAACTAATTAGACAGGTATGTTGTGATATTTAATCCTGTTTATACACCTAAGATCTTGAAAACAGTTAATGGATCGCTATTAAATAATGCATTTAAACTAACACTTTATTTACCATTGCTTGTTAGGTTCAGTTTAATGCAATGGGACGAGTTAATTTGCATATTAGTCTTATCTTTGAGGAATGTCGTATTAAACCCGTGTCTTCTCAGCAACAACTGTCAAATGTTTATAAACCATAAATAAACCATTAATATCCTAAACCAAGGGAGAGTACAGTCATGACAGGTAAAGTTAAACCTCACACACACACACACCTGGTAACACAGTGAGGCGGGCGGGCGGCGGGGACTGACCCCAAGCTGCCACCCACCCACGCACCCTGCCACCCACCCCGCCACCCACCCAGGTCTCTCTCACACCTGCCGTAGAGAGGGAAACCAAAACACACCTGTCACTTACCTGTCTTACCGGGAGCAAATAATGAACACTTAGATAATTAAGAGTATTTATAGTATGCTAATTACACCTGAGGGGGACTAATTATACCTGAGGAGGACTAATTACACCTGAGGATGACTAATTACACCTGAGGATGACTAATTACACCTGAGGATCACTAATTACACCTGAGGATGACTAATTACACCTGAGGATCACTAATTACACCTGAGGATCACTAATTACACCTGAGGATCACTAATTACACCTGAGGATCACTAATTACACCTGAGGATAACTAATTACACCTGAGGATAACTAATTACACCTGAGGATGACTAATTAAACCTGAGGATGACTAATTACACCCGAGGATGACTAGTTACACCTGAGGATGACTAATTACACCCGAGGAATACTAATTAGGATGACTTACCTTTCTTTGTGCTCGGGGATGGGGTCCTGGATAGACATGAAGTTGAGGCGCTGGAATGTGTTAAGCCTCTGAAGGCGGTACAGCTTGAGGTTCTGTAACACCATCTTGGCGAGGTGAGGGAGTCGACAACCTCTGCTGCCTCCCGACTGACAAACACTCGCCGCGTCACTTCAGTTGTCTCTCTCTCTCTCTCTCTCTCTCGGGTGTAGATTAAGGACCCGTTGTAGAGAGGTAGAGTGTGCGCCTCCTGACACGTCCCTGTTAAAGAATGTACCGTATTTCAGTACCACCAACACTCTTCAGCGTACCACAAGACACCTCACCTTTGTCTCTTTCCTTCACTTAATAGCCCCCTTGTAATTTGTACTATAAACGTGCAGTATAAGTTAATTAAGCTGACGAGCTCTTCGTCATAAAATATAAATACATACAGACTGTGCTTTGGCTTTCACTCATAAATATGAAGAAAAAAATATCTTGGTATATCTTGTTAAAATAGTTCACAGAGTTTCATTCACTGGAGATAGACACGCGAGCAGTAGTGAGCAACGAGCTGGCAGTAGTAGTCCTTGGGAGGAGGAGGAGGAGGAGGTGGTGAGGTAAACAAACGTTGGCGTGCTGCGCGGCCCAGACACTGAGCCACAACCCCCAGCCGTCGGGGCAAACGTTGGACTGAGGTGCAACACTCCAGCTCACCTCGCCGGCCCGGCCAAGTCTTGCGTAGTCGGGAAGGTGGAGGTAGCAGGCGGTGACGGAGGGAGGTGCGTGAGTGTTTTGCCGGCTGGATGAACGGACGATCCAGGGAGGGGGGGGGGAGCAACACACCTTGCAGGAATTTAGACTAAACTGTCGCAACAGTTGCTCGCCAAGGTCATGCGTACGTAGTAATGTCCGCCGATCTCTTGTGCCTATGTTTATATAAATAGCGTATAAAAATATATAAATATTAAATACTTTGAAGGTTTCTGTATCCACGAAAAATATTTATGTGATGTCACTGTACTGTAGCGACTCTCCTTGTTGATGATGACTTGTTGTGGCTCTTGACTCACGTAAAGGAGAGTTACTTGACGGTCCTGTTTCACTGTGGTACTTTACCACTTGTACTGTAAGGTTTGGTGTTCTCTTATTGGTCCAAATGTTGCTGATAATGTTTGTGGATTAAGACAAAATAAAGATTGTTCACTTTTGTTGATTAAATAAAGCAGCGTCTTGTTTGATTTCTGTCGCCGATCTAGACACTATGAAGGCACTTGTTGTACTGTTCAGGCAAACGTTTCCACAGGTGTTGGGGGCGGCAGTGACCAAGACCCACACACACTACTGTAGGTGCAGGAGGGCGAGAGAGTAACACAGGACCACTGTTGCCTAGGGCAGACGTGACCTGAGTGGCCAGCGGGCGTCTGCCACTGGTCTTATATAGGTCGAGGAGAAGCGTGACAACCTCAAGACGTCCTGACACTGGCACTTCCCAAACAGTGCCACGCAACTGTAGGACCTCCCGGGGGTCACAGTTACGGCCTTCAGTGGGTTTGTCTTTACTGTGCAGACTTATAGGAGACAAATACACCAACAGCAAATATTGGTGGAGTAACAGATTATTTCTATTGTCTAAACTATTATTAGATACGGGTTAAATGAGTAAATCTTCGTGTTATGGTTTAGTCCAGGGAGCCACCATACATGTCACTGGTTCACGTTCCTTCAAACCCTGGTCCAGAAAGGTGAATGACGTGTTGTGGGGGATGAAACTTGATGACGCTTTAGGGGTGAAACTTGATGACGTTTTAGGGATGGAACTTGATGACGTGTTTTAGGGATGGAACTTGATGACGTGTTGGGGATGAACGATGACGCTTTGGGGGTGAAACTTGATGACGTGGGTGGAACTTGATGACGTTTGATGAAACTTGATGACGTTTTAGGGGTGGAACTTGATGACGTGTTGTGGGGGATGAAACTTGATGACGTGTTTGGGGGATGAAACTTGATGACGTTTTAGGGGTGGAACTTGATGACGTGTTGTGGGGGGACTTGATGACGCTTTAGGGGTGAAACTTGACGTTTTAGGGGTGGAACTTGATGACGTTTTAGGGATGGAACTTGATGACGTTTTAGGGGTGGAACTTGATGACGTGTTGTGGGGGATGAAACTTGATGACGCTTTAGGGGTGGAACTTGATGACGTTTTAGGGGTGGAACTTGATGACGCTTTAGGGGTGAAACTTGATGACGTGTTGACGTTTTAAGATAACTTCTGAGAATGACAAACACAGACAAACACACACACACACACACGTTCCAGAATAACTTATATGAATGAACAAATCGACGAGTATTTTCCCATAATAAGATCAAATGACCATCCTCTCAAAACTAAATGACACGATTAACTACCCAATTGACGTGTAATCTTCGTATCTCACCGATAATATCCACACAGGAGGTCAGGTTATGTAGTTACGTCAGCAGTGGCTTCTCCTGCGTCGTCGCCTCCTGCGTGTTGATCAATGCCACCACACTGGGTAATGCTTGCCCTACATACGTCTCGTTTGACCTTGCATCCTAATACTGCAACTCACCGGGTCAACCAATCGTTACCCAGCTGCTCGATACTCCGGTATTGTTATTGGTCTTCTCTTTCTCGAGGTCAGAGATCCATTGACGTTTATACACTTGTTATTGGTCTTCTGTTCAGTGACGTCAGATACCCATGGAAGTTTCTACACTTATTGGTCTTCTGTTCAGTGACGTCAGATACCCATGGAAGTTTCTACACTTATTGGTCTTCTGTTCCGTGACGTCAGATACACATGGACGTTTTTACCCTTTTTATTGGTCTTCTGTTCCGTGACGTCAGATATCCATTGACGTTTTTACCCTTCTTATTGGTCTTCTCTTCCGTGACGTCAAGATATCCGTAGACGTTCGCCAGCCTTACAATACTTCCCAATCCACTTCGACTGGCAGACACGAGAGGCAGAGTCACCAAAAAGGAACTCTACAACCTCAGGAACTCGTTAAATATATGAACTAAAACAGAAATTCCTTTGATATCAAGTAACAAGGGCGTGAATAGTATACGAGGGGAGAGGTGTCGAATTTGCGTATAAGGGAGGAAGGGAGGTTAGCAGGAGGGGTGGTAAGGGAGAAGGGAGGGAGGGAGGGAGGGTAGTAGGAGAGGGTATACAGTCTGGGAGGGAGGGAAGGTAGGACAGGTAGGGAGGGAGGGTAGGACAGGGAGGGTAGGACAGGGAGGTAGGTAGGGAGGGAGGGTAGGACAGGGAGGGAGGGAGAGAGAGGGAAGGAGTCACTACGGGCCCAGGGCGAACTAGTGACCTGTTTACCCCAGCGTGAATCAATGGCCTCCTGTCACAAGAAGTAGGATAAGCAGTAATTACTCTGGGGGCGTCGCGTGCCTGTGTCTTGTACCCCCAGATGTTGTTAATGACCTTCCCAGCCAGGTGTTTGCACATACAGGTAAGGATTGACACACAAACTCACTCACCTGGCAATAAACTGTTCGTATGACCTTCAGGTAAAAACAATAAAAGGTGTTAAAGGTGTCAGGTGAAGTAGTTTTCTTTAGAGTTTAACAGATATACAATGAACTAATATTGGTTGTTTTTATGAATCACCTTTTAAAAGACTTATCACAAAAACTCTGTCACTACTTTCAAAACTGTTTCTTACTTTTATTTACTCTTCTCAAAGGTCAATCTCTTCCTTATTCACTTTTTATTAACTTTTTTATATATTCTCTTTCTATAGTGAGTTCTTGTTGTTACTTATTCCCGTAATCTTGAGAAATACCTTCAAGTTCTTCCCATGGTGTTGTGTTTGTAAGGGATGAAAGATTTCTCACCACAGGATGATTGACAACACAGGGTGACAATACGTGGTGACTGTCCTATGAAAAACACAATCACCAATAACACCAAGATCACTGTAAGGTGGTTTGAATCACCAGTTAAGACCACTAAATGTGTCTTGGAATCACCATTAAATCACCATCAGCTGACTATGGTTATTAGCTAAGATCACCAGCTTCTAAGATCACCACCAGCCGTTTACATCACCAGTCCAACAGGTCACCAGGTAAAGCGGCAAACTAGGTCAACAGTAGAACGCCTGAACATTAATAATTACCTGTTAATTACACAGGTGTGGAGGTCACGGGCCAATATATTTACCTTAATTTTTTTTTTTTGGGGCAACACTAGGTGGGATTTTCTTGGGGGCAAAGTGGTGATTTATCTGGGGATTTTTTTCTAGGGATTAATGGGTTCTTGTTGTGGGTATTCTTGGGGGGATTCTTTTCTTGGGTTCTATTGGGTTCTGTTTGGAATTTCCAGAGATCTTGTTTTGAACTATTTCCGGGTTCTATTTGAGCCTTTTGGGGGGGAGGGGGAGTGGTGGTTCTTTCAAGCAGATACACTGGGTTCTTTTAAAGCACACTAGGTTCTTTAAAGACAATTGGGTTTCTTTTGAGGGGTCACACAAGGTTCTTAAAAAACAATTTGGGTTCTTTTCCGGGTTAGGTTAAGTTCAATTACTCACTCGTTTTTAAAATCACATACATATTTTGAACGAATTTTAACGATATTTTTCCTTGTTGTGTCGAATAAAGTGGTGGTGGTGGTTGATGTCGTTTCTTACATTAATAGTTAGAAGTTATACTCGAACACGACATAACTTATCCTCCTCTTAACTTAAGCATCAGCAGTTATAGTCTTTTGAAGTGTCGTGTTGTCTCCAAAATCGCCTGTCGTTCTCCAAAAGTACCTGCCGTTCTCCAAAAGTACCTGTCGTTCTCCAAAAGTACCTGCCGTTCTCCAAAAGTACTGTCGTCCTCCAAGTATTGTCATGTAAATCCTCAATCACTTTCTTCTCACGCTGTTATTGTTATTGCTGTTGTTATTGTTATTGATGATGAAGATTCTAAGTTTTCTATCCGTTCAAGAGTCCAACTTTTCAGGACCACTTTGTGACAGAATTAGAACTTACGATTTTGTTTTTCCTCTTGGACCCAACAGAAGGGATTTACGTGTTTCTCTTTCTATATGTAACACAAACAGTAAACACAGAGCACAAATTGCGTTACAGAATTAATGTAGAAAGGGTATGTTGATAAATGCACAGGAATTTTCTCAACGTGAATCTTGGTATAAATGCACAGGAATTTTCTCAACGTGAATCTTGGTATAAATGCACAGGAATTTTCTCAACGTGAATCTTGGTATAAATGCACAGGAACCTTATTTAAGTCCTGCTGATCAATACTACACTGAAAATATCTACAAATTGCCAACTATGGTGACGGTGTGGATCACAAAGCAAGTTATAACACACACACAGACACGCAGATGGCTCCGGGGCTAGCAAGGTAAAGACGAGGACAAAGGTTCGACACCAACATGGGACCACTCCGCTCCTCGAACTGGGAGACGAGGATGAGCAGCTTCCTTTTTCAACACCACAGGATATGTATGAATTTTCTTAGTATCCTTCTGTCTCTATAAGGCGGAATAGGATGTGACGACTTGAGTAATCCTATTGTACCGGAGGATAAAAGGATGGGATCAGGGTGGATCCTAGGGAGAGGAGGGAGAGAAAAAGGACTCAGAAGAGGATGGTTGGTAAAGGATTTTGGCTGATGGCCCTATAGGATTCCAAGGGCCTAGGATCAGTGAGGGGATACGGGACTTAAGGGGGGGTCCTGAAGGTGGACTTAGGACACGAGAACAGAGACACCTGTTCTTAGGGGCGGTCAGGAGGGCACTGGATACCTGGGGAACTTTCTGCTTAACTCCTGACCTCGGTCCTACACACCCGGCAAGGTCACACACACACACACACACAGACAGACACACACACACACACACACACAGGAAGTGACCGGAAAAAACAACAACGGGTGTGACAGAGCATTAAACAGAGGGGTGGGCGGGCGGGGTGGGTGGGTGGGTGGGGTGGGTGGGTGGGTTGGGTGGCATGGGCGGGGACAAGTACACGTTGAGATAACAATACAAACCACGTAGTGAACATGTATGCATCACTTGAGACCATGAAATAGACAGAGGGGTGGGCGGGTGGGTGGGTTGGGTGGCATGGGCGGGGACAAGTACACGTTGAGATAACAATACAAACCACGTAGTGAACATGTATGCATCACTTGAGACCATGAAAATAGACAGAGGGGTGGACGGGCGGGTTGATGGGTGGGCTTGTGGGTGGGATGGGCGGGGACAAGTACAGGTAGAAAGAATAATATAACCCACGTAGTCAAGATGTATGCGCCACCCACGACCATGAAAACACAAGGGCATCTTAGCCAAGGTCTCCTGTCTCAATTAAGTTACTCTCTCTCTCTCTCTCTCTCTCTCTTTGTTTATGGTATTGTAGTGGTAGTAGTGATGGTGTGATAGTGGTGGGTGTGGTTGGTGGTGGTAGTTGTGGTTGGTTGTGGGTGGTTGTGGTTGGTTGTGGGTTGTGGGTGGTGGTGGTTGTGGTTGAAGGATTTGTGGGTGGTGGTGGTTGTGGTTGGTTGTGGGTGGTGGTAGTTATGGTTGGTGTGGTGGTAGTTGTGGCTGGTGTGGTGGTGGTTGTTTTGGTGGTGATAGTTGTGGTTGGTGGTGATAGTTGTGGTTGGTGGTGGTAGTAATAGTACAAATGTCGACGGTGGTGGTAATGAGAGAGAGAGAGAGAGAGAGAGAGAGAGAGAGAGAGAGACATTCTCTCACATCTCATCAACTTCCTATTCGTCTACTTCTCATGACCTCACATCTACCTGTTCTTCACCTCAACTCTCTCTAAACTACATTCTATCTCTCTATCTCTCAGTGTCTCTCCCCCCACGATCTCACCTCCCACTGTCTCGTGATCTGTCTCTTCTCCCACTGTCTCGTGATCTGTCTCTCCTCCCACTGTCTCATGATCTGTCTCTCCTCCCACTGTCTCATGATCTGTCTCTCCTCCCACTGCTGTGATCTGTCTCTCCTCCCACTGTCTCTGATCTCTCTCCTCCCCACTGTCTCATGATCTGTCTCTTCTCCCCACTGTCTCATGATGCCCTTCACTGTCTCTGATCTCTCTCTCCCACTGTCTCATGATCTGTCTCTCCTCCCACTGTCTCGTGATCTGTCTCTTCTCCCACTGTCTCATGATCTGTCTCTCCTCACACTGTCTCATGATCTGTCTCTCTCCCACTGTCTCATGATCTGTCTCTCCTCCCACTGTCTCATGATCTGTCTCTTCCTCCCACTGTCTCATGATCTGTCTCTTCTCCCACTGTCTCATGATCTGTCTCTCCTCCCACTGTCTCATGATCGTCTCTCCTCCCACTGTCTCATGATCTGTCTCTCCTCCTGCTCTCATGATCTGTCTCTCCTCCCACTGTCTCATGATCTGTCTCTCCTCCACTGTCTCATGATCTGTCTCTCCTCCCACTGTCTCATGATCTGTCTCTTCTCCCACTGTCTCATGATCTGTCTCTCCTCCCACTGTCTCATGATCTGTCTCTCTCCCACTGTCTCATGATCTGTCTCTCCTCCCACTGTCTCATGATCTGTCTCTTCTCCCCACTGTTCGTGTCCCCCCACTGTCTGATCTGTCTCTTCTCCTGTCTCATGATCTGTCTCTCCTCCCACTGTCTCATGATCTGTCTCTCCTCCCACTGTCTCCATGATCTGTCTCTCCCACACTGCTCAGTCTGTCTCTCCCCTGTGATCTGTCTCTCCTCCCACTGTCTCATGATCTTCTCTCTCTTCCACTGTCTCATGATCTGTCTCTCCTCCCTGTCTCATGATCTTCTCTCTCCTCCACTGTCTCGTCATCTGTCTCTCCTCCCACTGTCTCTCATCTGTCTCTCCTCCCACTGTCTCATGATCTGTCTCTTCTCCCACTGTCTCATGATCTGTCTCTCCTCCCACTGTCTCATGATCTGTCTCTCCTCCCACTGTCTCATGATCTGTCTCTCCTCCCACTGTCTGATCTGTCTCTCTCACACTGTCTCATGATCTGTCTCTCCCACTGTCTATGATCTGTTCTCTTCTCCACTGTCTCATGATCTGTCTCTTCTCCCACTGTCTCATGATCTGTCTCTCTCCCACTGTCTCGTCATCTGTCTCTCCTCCCACTGTCTCATCATCTGTCTCTCCTCCCACTGTCTCATGATCTGTCTTTCCCACTGTCTGTCATCTGTCTCCTCCTCCCACTGTCTCGTCATCTGTCTCTCCTCCCACTGTCTCATGATCTGTCTCTCCTCACACTGTCTCATGATCTGTCTCTCCTCCCTGTCTCATGATCTGTCTCTCCTCCCACTGTCTCATGATCTTCTCTTCTCCCACTGTCTCATGATCTGTCTCTTCTCCCACTGCCATGATCTGTCTCTCTCCCTGTCTCGTCATCTGTCTCTCCTCCCACTGTCTCGTCATCTGTCTCTCTCCTCCCACTGTCTCATGATCTGTCTTTCCTCCCACTGTCTCGTCATCTGTCTCTCCTCCCTGTCTCGTCATCTGTCTCTCTTCCACACTGTCTCATGATCTGTCTCTCCTCACTGTCTCATGATCTGTCTCTCCTCCCACTGTCTCATGATCTGTCTCTCCTCCCACTGTCTCATGATCTGTCTCTTCTCCCACTGTCTCATGATCTGTCTCTCCTCCCACTGTCTCGTCATCTGTCTCTCCTCCCACTGTCTCGTCATCTCCTCCTCCCACTGTCTCTGATCCCTCCTCCCACTTCCATGATCTGTCTCTCCTCCCACTGTCTCGTGATCTTCTCTCCACTTGACCTCCCTCCTGATCTGTCTCTCCTCCCACTGTTCGTCATCTGTCTCTCCTCCCACTGTCTCATGATCTGTCTCCTCCTCCCACTGTCTCATGATCTGTCTCTCCTCCCATCTCATGATCTGTCTCTTCTCCTGTCTCATGATCTGTCTCTCCTCCCACTGTCTCGTCATCTCTCTCCTCCCACTGTCTCGTCATCTGTCTCTCCCCACTGTCTCATGATCTGCTCTCTCTCCCACTGTCTCATGATCTGTCTCTCCTCCCACTGTCTCGTGATCTGTCTCTCCTCCACTGTCTCGTGATCTGTCTCTCCTCCACTGTCTCGTGATCTGTCTCTCTCCTGTCTCGTCATCTGTCTCTCCTCCACTGTCTCATGATCTGTCTCTTCTCCCACTGTCTCATGATCTGTCTCTTCTCCCACGTCTCATGATCTGTCTCTCCTCCCACTGTCTCGTCATCTGTCTCTTCCACCGTCTCGCCGTCCTCGTGTTGGTGTCGAGGAGGGCGGGGCCACGAGACCAGGGGTGTGTTGGTCGACAGGTCCAGCGAGACACACAGGACCTTGACCCTTACGCCTCGCCACCCGGGAGAAAACAGTGCACGCCCAAGGTTGTTGTGGTGGTGGTTGTGGTGTTGGTGTGGTTGTGGTGTGGTGGTGTGGTGGTGGTGTGGTTGTGGTGGTGGTGTGGTGGTGGTAACTGTGGGTAGGGTGGTGGTAATAGTTGTAGTGGTAGTGGTGGTAGTGGTGGTGTGTGGTAGTAGTGGTGGTAGTAGTGGTAGTAGTGGTGGTGGTAGTAGTGGTGGTAGTAGTGGTAGTGGTGGTGGCAAGACACACCAACACTCACCAATTAACACAGTAACCTTAACCCTGTCAGGCTCTGTGTGTGTGTGTGTGTACATGCAAGTGTGTACGTGTAAGTAACCATGTGTACCTCACTTTACAACCCGGCTCGGTCTTTCTCCCTGACCATGTGTACTTCCGTGTTCTTAACATATAAAACCACACTCAGAACAACCAACCACTTAACAGCCCAATTCAGAATCAACCACGACATCAACTGCATCGTAAAGTCGAACAAGAATTCCACTACCTCTTCCCTTTACGATATAAGTTACGATGGAGGTCAGATTACTTCTTTATAGGAACTTGTGCGAGCTGAATAACCAATGGGTGGGGAGGAATGGCCGCCCCAACCCTTACTGGGACCAATCACGGCTCACTTTCACTCTCATCCCGACCTCTGATTGGCTGGATGTTGTGGATAGCACCAAGAGACACAAGTTGTTGGCATTGACTTTCACTATCCTGTCCTTAGGAAGATGATATGGTAATAGACGGGGCGTAAGGAGGGAGGGAGGGGGAGAAGGGGCGTAAGGAGGGGAGGGGCGTAAGGAGGGAGAAGGAGGAGATAAGGGCACAAGGTGACAACACGGCAAGGAAACGATAAAATGGGGACATGAACTTAACGTCCAATGATGACAATCTTCCCGTGGTACTAATTATCTCCAAGACAGACAGACAGACACACACCACACACACACACACACACACACACACACACAGACACACACACACACAGGCTGTCACAGTGGTTGAATGTTTGTTTGGCCGATACGTTTGTTTGTCTTTCTTACGTATTATCATGTCCGTGTGTTTGTCGTACATGTGTAAGTGTTTGTGTGTACATAATTACTCGCGTGTCGGTAATACCATCCTTAACGGAGTGATATAAGACTCATAATGTATACAGTGAGCATAATATGTATACAGTGAGCATAATAGATATAGTGAGCATAGTATGTATACAGTGAGCATAATAGATATAGTGAGCATAGTATGTATACAGTGTACAGATATGTATACAGTGTACAGATATGTATACAGTGGGCATAATATGTATACAGAGTGTTGATAATATGTATAGGCTAATATACATACTTGAATACAAATTATACATGTCCGCTTCAAGATATACATATTACTG